TCATACTTCCTACCACCAAGCTATGAATTGTGAATTACAAATTATTATTATTATTATTTTGTTCTTAGCTTAATCTTTAAAACATAAAGATCACAGCAGTATAATTTGACAGCAAAAATTGCAATTTGTTGTAATTTATGACTTTCAAGTTTGATTTGCAAGTTGCAATTTTATAATTTTTAAATGAATAAGACTCATTATTAATTATTATATAATTTAATAATAGAGTTATTTGTTTTTTATAATATGTTTAGATTAAGAGAAATAAAGGAAGAAAGAGAAGAAAGAAAGATTTTTTAATTAATTAAATTATAATATTTTAAAAATATTATAATTTAATTAATTTTAAATGAATAAGACTCATTATTAATTATTATATAATTTAATAATAGAGTTATTTGTTTTTTATAATATGTTTAGATTAAGAGAAATAAAAGAGGAAAGAGAAGAAGGAAAAAAATTTTAATTAATTAAATTATAATATTTTAAAAATATTATAATTTAATTAATTAAAATATTCTTTTCCCTTCCATGCCTTTCTATTTATTTCAACCCAAACATACAATTAATCTCAAATTTAAGTAATACTAGAGAAAAATCTCACTGATCATATAAAACTATTTTTGTGATTTAATGTGAATATAATAGTTTTTTTTATTTACAATGTCTGAATATAAATAATTAACTACTCCATCAGTTCTTTTTTAATTGTTTTAGTTTAATTTTTTGACTTTTTAAATATAAATTTTATAAACTATTTTAAAAAAAAACTAAGACAGAATTTTGGTAGAATTTAGACAACTATTTAAACTTTTTATGGAATTATTTAAATTTTTTGAAAAATGTGAAAAGAGAGGACTGCTGTTTTTCCATTTTGGTCCTGACCATTTATTGCCAATAATAGAAAGATTTGGTCTTCGGTCCAAGTCAGATTCCCGATTTGGTCAATTCTTAAGCTGTTTTCTATATTTATTTTATTCATTTATTTTAATTTTATGGAAGACTATTTTAGTAATTTAAAATATTAAAGAGTTCCAAACCTTTTTTTTATATTAATTTAAGATTAATTCTTCTTTAAATAATTATAAAAGTACATCCTTCTCATCAATTTTGTGTATTTAAAGATTTAATGGCTAAGCCTTAGTTTGGTTTTTATTCTTTTTGGAAAGTGAAATATAGGAAGCCAACATCAAAATTGTCAATTTGAATTCAAAATCCTACACAAAAATCAAAATAAGTTACAATTGATTATAACATTTTATAATTAATTATAATTGACCGAAACAAAAAATAGATAACCATACTGCATTGTAATTGACTATATTACCCATAATCCAATTCCAGTCAAAAAAATCTAAGAAGAATTTCTTTCTAGAAAACTTTCAATTTTTTTTTCTTTATTGTTATATTTAATTATAGTCAATTATAGTAACGTTTCATTGGATTTTATGTCCAAAAATAATATTTCCTCAGCCAAGCCAAAACAAAACATTTGCAACTTCGCAAAAATATATTTTATGGAAAGTGGGAAACCAAAGGCACCCTAAAAATAAAATAAACTTAAATTTAAATGAAAAGAAGTAATGCTATGTTTACAATAGATATGTTTATCACATGATTGTAAGTATAATCTTACGTAACATTAAATAAAATATGACACAGTACTAAATATATAAATGCATATAATATCAAGAATAAATTATTGAATGAAAAGAAATAATTATATAATGACACATTATATAATAAATTTACAATATCATATGATATTATAATTATAATATTTTTGTTTTTCTAATGTGTTTCGAGGATGTAGGGTGTATTAATTATATTTTTTATAACTGATTTATATTAAAAATTAAAAATTATTTTTAATTTTATTAATTATCTAATTAAAAATATTTATGTAATAGTGTTAGTGATAAAAATAAAATCAAAATTTTATTATTTTTTTTATAAAAATTATGTAAAAAAATGTAATTAAGATGCCACTTAAATAAACTCTTTTCTTTTTCTTTTTTTTTGAACTTTGAGGAATCTGAGGGATTGGGATTTTTTGGAGTCCAACTCCCAACTAACTACACCCAAGCATTTAAGGCTTGTGGACAAACTACTAAATCCAAAGGCCTCAGTTTCAAGTTAATAACCTCTTAATTATTAATAAGTCTAACTTTAAAATTATTGGTGGTAAATAGAGTAGGACCCAAGTAACATTAATGGATCATTGAAGTGTGACGGCCATATGAAAAAAAAAACAAAAAGAATCATTGAAATGTGATTTCGTTAATATATGGATAAACTCAAAGAGGTCCCAATATTAAATTAAGGCCAGTAGTTTTGTGACATGAATCTAACAATCACTGGCAATAGAAGCAGTGGATGTAACACCAATCAATAGATGACTTGCAACATATCCTAATAAAAATAAATTAAAAAATAATAACATAAATTATCTCCTTCCAAACTAGATATTCTAAAAATTTACTCCTTTTACTAATGAGTTTTCTTTTAGAGGATAACTCTACCATTTTTATTTGTTGACTCCATCCTCGCCTGCTGCAATATTTGAACTTAAACCAAGGAACTGTAAGATATACTCCCCTCTAATTTATTTTTAGTAGATTGATTTTTTATTTTTTATTTATAAAATAGAGATGTAATAATTTATTGATAAATTTTTATATTTATTTTTAATTAAAAATACTTAAATAAGACTTCTTATTTAATATATATTATAATAATTATTGTTAAAAAAAATAAGGATAAAATAAGAATAAACACATTAAATGACATCTTAAAAAAATGAATAATTAAATTTGAACACTCCAAATAAAAAATTAAGTTTATTAAAAATGAATGGAGGGAATAATAGTTTAAAATTAATAGTTAATGATTTTATCTAATTTAGCAATTGATAATAATAATTAGGGTCTTTTAAATTTGTATCATTACTAGAGCACATGTTAATAGTACATTTATTACACTTTTTAACCATTAATTTATATAAAAAATTACAAAAATAAACTTTATTTCAACCCTAATGTAGCATGAAATGATTTAATTGAACAGTTAATAAAACTTAAGTTAGTTTTTTATTTTTTTTCATATAAATTATATAAATTAAAAAATTCATAATAATTATTAATAATAATTTTAATACTTTTATTCATTAAGTTCAAATAAAATCATTAATCTTTAATTTTAAATCATTATACCAAACAATTTCTTAAAGTCCCAAATTTATCACCCTGAGGATTATAAAAGCTCTAGGAGTTGAGTTAATTAAGGTAAGGAAGCTCCAACAAAAGGGTTCAAGAATTGAAGTGATAGACTGTTAGTGACCTTGGTGGAAGGGACAGATGTAAAGCTAAAGAGGCAAGTGGAAGCCCATTGTCGTTGTCGGGTCCATTCCACAACCTTATCTTAGGTAGACAATTGACTTTATGAAGGACTTATCCAAAGACGAAAAGAATACAATAAATGTTTTTTTTTCCCCATAAAATCATATTTTCCCCAAGAAATGTTTAGAAGCATTGTATCTGCCCCTTCCCTATCAAATTCAGTAGTTTGTCCTTTTTTCCCAGTTTTCCTCTCCAACGGCCTCTCAATTCCTTGGCCTTTTTATTTTTTCTTCTTCCATTGAAATTTCATAACAAAACAATCCAATTAAACTAAAGTTCTTTTTTATTTTTGTTGGTGAAAAGGGTGGATTTAATTACCCTCCACTTTTTGTTGATTATTAAAGTAAAATCTAATACTATTTAATAAAATAAATTAACGCTTTTACTTTTAAATTAATTAAAATTCCTTCCATCCCCTTCCTTAACCGTTACCTTTCCATCACTTTCCTTGCATGAGGGCCTATTTTTCTAAGGACAAGAAAATCATGGGCCTATTTTTTTAGGAGACATGAGGGCCTATTTTCTAAGGACATGAAAATCACGTCACATAAAATTAATTATTTAAATAACATATAAAATTAATATTAAAAATTTATCTGTGAGTTATTTTTCAACTCTTTAATCCAACCAATTAAATCAAACTAAAAATTTAAATTCAATAATTCATTCTTAAATTTTAATATTTAATTGATCAAAATTTCAATTCACATCGCATAACTTAAAAAAAAAATGTTATTAGAATAATTATTTTATTTTTTTTTTCATATAATTTGACTTTTTTTTAATTTATATAAAATTTATAATATTAAATATACATACTCATTTAATAATATATAAAAATTACATAAAAAAATAAAATAAAAAAATTTTCCCCATAACACCACTCTTAAAAAAGTTCTCATTACCCAAAATTCTCCTTCTGAAAATAAAAAACCAACTAAAATCGGCGATAGTCGACATGATCTAGAGGGATTAGACAACAGGATATATATATTTTTTGATTCAAAGACAACTGGATATACGAGCATTATCATTTTGCTGCTGTAAGTTCCAATGATGTCATCCACCAAACCCAAAATAATCACGTGTCCAAACTTCCCTTTCACATACGAACGAAGTTTCACGGAATATCAGATTACATAAACAAACCACAAATTAATTATAATTTCCCAAAAATAAAATTCCGCCCAGATTCATGCACCTTTCTCCTTATATAATCACTTTCCCCTTTCCACGCAAACATTCAGATCCTTGAATTCTTGCTTCTCTCTTTCTGAGAAGTAATTCTACTCAAAATTTTATTTTAGAAAGTTTATTTCTTGAAATTTTGGGTATGGACATGTATGTACAGAGTACAACAGAGTCCGATTTAGCATTTCTGGACTCAATTCGCCTATGTCTTCCATGCGAATCGGAGTCTTTGTCAGAGATGTCAGAGACGGATTCAGTTTCTAGCAATGGACGCTGTCCTGTTTACGGTCGGAGTTCAAGCCTCAGCAGCTTGTACTCTTGCCTGACGGACAATTGGGGTGAACTGCCGCTCAAAGAAGACGACTCTGAAGACATGGTCGTCTTCGGCTTCCTCCGGGATGCGTTCACTGTTGGGTGGGCGCCGTCTGACGCTGTTGTGCCGAAGTTCTCGGTAGTTAAGCCGGAACCCCAGGAGGGTTTGGTATTGGCGGCACCGGAAGTGCCGGCGGCAAAGGTTGTTCCGGTTAAGGGAAAGCATTACAGGGGAGTTAGGCGGAGGCCGTGGGGGAAATTCGCTGCGGAGATTCGTGACCCGGCCAAAAACGGGGCGCGGGTTTGGTTGGGTACCTTCGAAACGGCTGAGGACGCGGCTTTGGCTTACGACAGAGCGGCTTATAGGATGCGAGGGTCAAGGGCGCTGTTGAACTTCCCGTTGAGGGTGAATTCAGGAGAGCCTGACCCAGTGAGAATCAGGTCGAAGAGGGCATCGCCGGAGCCGTCCTCACCGTCGTCATCTGGATCGGTGAATGGCTTGCCGAAGCAAAGGAAGAAGGTAGGTGGATCGACTCGGGTTGTTGTTTAAACCGGGTTGGAAATGGGTAAGGGAACAGAGGTTAAGTGTGAGGTGGAGTCTTGCACACATGTCGAACAGCTATTGGTTGCTTAATGCTGACGTGTGAAACTCAGCAGTTGAGATTTGGGAATGGGATTACGTGTAAAGCTTACTAAAGTTTCTGGGGCAAATACATAATTTTGTGAAATGCATGGACCGGGGGTGGAAATAACAGAAATGAGAAGGGATAAGATTAGAAGAATAAAAAAAGAAAACTCATTAGCAGTTAATATTAAAAATATCAAGATGTCAATAATGCGTGAATTATAATTTTATTAAATTTATAATGTAATTATTATTAAACGTCTTGATATTTTTAATGATAACACATTCTCATTAACCCTTTCCCCTTATAAACTCGAGCAGTTTGATTTTGTAAATACATTCATTTGTTATATAGACTGAGTTTTGCTTAAATGAAGAAATTCTTCAACGCCAAATTTGCAACATTTTGTGTAGCATTATGTGACACAGTAATATTTTTTTGTGGGAATGTGCTTAAATGTGAAAGTCCATCTATTTTCATGCGCTACTTCCTCTATCCTCAACATTTCTCCTAAGTCAAAAAAAACAAAAAATTTGCAAAGTTTTATTTTATTTTTTAAAAAAAGTGTTTAACAATCTAAATGGTACAATTTAAATTTTTAGATTAAAAAAAAACTTTATAATATTGAGGATTTAACTTTTTATTTAATTTCTTATTTTATAATTTAATATAATACAAATTGTAAAATAAAATTTTCTTCTCTTTTTCATCATGTGAACTAGGAGAATTTTGCTTGCAGCCTAGCAGTTAGAAATACAGTAAAATAACTTCATATATGCATCTTGTGATGTTAGAATTTCAAGTTCCAATCTTTTGTTTGATGCTAAAATTTTAAGGTCAACTTGTGTGACGATCGTGTGCTCAAAAAAACCAAAAATAAAAATAAATAAATAAATAAAAGAGTGATTAGGGTGTTCCCTCAACCTTCCAGAGAGGGTTGCCTTAAAGGCTGGTGTAGGGTCCATAAGGGAACATCTTATACAAGCTCAATTCTTTTCAAAGATTGACTTTTGACTATGTTCACATTTCAAAATCTTTTCAAATGCACAAGGAAAGAATGTTGACATTTCAACATTGAATCATACAACCACAAACATTAAGATCACAGCAAGCTGCATCTCCTAATTAATGCCATTCAAATCATACCAACAGTTCTATGAGATTATTCCAAGATGCCTTGCATGTAAAACTTTTAAAGAGGATAGGAAGTCTTACATGCCTGCCAACCATATCAAGGATAGTCTAACACCAAAAACTTTTCAGTTTGAAGGTCTTGATCAATTATAAGATGCACCTACGACTTTTTTGAAATAGCAATAACGTTGAAGTTGAGTGACTCTGGATTTTTCTGGATCACACCTTGTATGACTTTGGCTGTGTCCTGTTATGAACAAAAAATGATGTCAAATAGCAGGATCAAATTGGAGTTGGATCATTTCTGTTGACACATAAATCAAATAAAGGAATGTACACTTGGCTCAAAGGGCCAGCAAAGGCACATTACAATGATGAAACACTTTGGTTGACAGTTGACACCAAACCCAACCCAAGCAAAGTTCAATTAGCAATTGGAATCCTTGGTTGAGTTCTAACGCACACAAACATTATGGACACCCGACCATGTGATCACAGGCACATATAGGGGGGAGAGATTTCAAGGTGGATTTGCAGCCCGTTACTTGAAACCCTATCTTATTCTAAGCAGTTTTTATCAGCCATTTTTCTAAGCATTGACACCAAAAAAAGCATGAGAATAAAAGACACAGCCATGATAACTTTTCTTGGCATATCTTAACGAAAGCACACTGAAATCAAAGCATTTCCAATTGTAATACCAGAACACTTTCATTCCCTCATATTTCTTTTAAATTTCTTTAGTTTCCTCATATAATTCTGAATTAATATTGTTCTTCTTCCTGTTGTTTCCATTTCCACAGCTTAACATGCCAGAAGGAAATCTTAAAGTAACTATGGTCTAAAATATAAATGCAAATTCAAACCTGCAATAAGGTGCTTGGTGAGGAAGCACCGTGTGAAATTGGCCCTGACCTCCTTCCATCAAGCTCATAAAGTTGCTCTGCATAGCCCACAAATGAGTCCAAAAATAAAATTCAAGATCACAGCACCAAAAAGAACTGCATCTCAGAATATTCAAAAGAATTCCATCACACATTAAAATTCGTCTTACTTTTTCATGATAGCTTCTTCATGTAATTATGTTATGGAAGAAAGAAACAGTGTGGAGAAGGGGAAGAAGAGAATGCATACCATCCACACATGTGAAGCAGATAAAGTGAGTGTCCACATTTTCTGAAGCCTGTTAGGAAAGATTGGTAAGAGATGGGTAACAAATTCAAAACCACATTAAACAATAAAACACTCAAATAAGAAAAGGAAAAACGACTGCTTTTCTTGACAAGATAAATTTACTAAAGAACTTGCTCAGATTGCTAAATCACTGTACTCATTGATAAAATTGCTTAACCTTGATAAATCACTACACTCTGATCTGCCACCTATCCTACCTTCAAAATGTGCCACTTATGTATGTTTTCAGAAACAACTAGAATTAAATAACTCATAATACAGTTACCTCTGTTTCACCAGCAGTAGCTGCTACAGAATGAGCAACTTCCATTTCTCTGTCATTCTCAAGAAATGCTGCACGCTTTATAACATCGAGAAAAAAGGCACTTTATTAGTATATTATTAACCGACTAATCTCACCAAAACAGATGCACAGAGAGAGAGAGAGAGAGAGAGAGAGAGAACCTCTGATGGATCCATGTTTGCAGTAGATTTGAAAAATCTATCCAAGAATGATCCTTCAGCTGAAAATAAGATAAAAATGCTCATCCATTAGAAGACAGGCTATAAGTTTGTAATTACATCAAGAAAATATCTAATCCTTTAGTGTAGAAAATTTTCATGAATTTCTCTTCTCCCAGGGAAGTTGTGAGATAATGGCAACAAAGAAAAATGATAGCCTGCCATATAAGTCTGTCTATACCACATGAAGCATCTTAGAAGCCAAAAGGAGCTTCTATAGATTCTTCAACCATAAAGAGAAGCACATTATCAACATGCATATAGCTAAACATGACTGATCAGTAAAAGAAGAATTAGAAAAAAAAAAACTTACAAAGCTTGATTTCTGAAGTGATATTTCCAACAGCATGGAGAAGTCCAATTGTTCCACAAGCATTCCCAACAGTTTGTTTCATGAAATAAACTTTGTTGCTAGATTCCTACAACCCCAAATGACATAAAGAAATCTCAACCAGAGTACATACAATGAAAGGTAAAAGAAGAACTTCTGAAACTCATTACCAACACCTACAATCACCAGTGTTCAGAATATAACAAGATGGTATCCACGCATCTGACTCAAAGTTACACAAATTTTATGCTCTATTGCAATTGATCCAAATATAACCAAGATACAAACACAAAAAGCTAGAATATAAAATCCAACGATAATTATGTCTTTGCACTCACACTTTTCTCATTGTCCTGCAGAATTCTCTCCTCTTCAGTCTGATTAAAAGGGGGCAAAAAAATGAACAAGACATCAAACATAACAGCAGAAGAAATGCATACCGCATAAATTTCAAAGGAAATGAACAAACCTGAGAAGTTATTGGATAAAGAAACAGCACAGCAAGTACAGGCTGCGGGACCATTGCCAAGAGCTCCTCATCCAGGCCAAAAACATCATTACATTCAGCTTCCTCCACCGGAAGACCAAGCCCCCAAAGAAACTGCAAATAAAAACAGTATCAATAAGGATTGTTTATCTGCCAAAAATTTATTAGCAACCAAACAGGATATATATTAAAAAAAAAATACAAAACAAAACAAAACAAAACTTAACTTAAAATTATTAAACCAGTTTACAGACCCGACATTAAGTATTTGGGTTAAAGATAAAGGAGATACTCCAGGTATAGATAATTGGTTTTAACTTGGATGCAAACCTTAGATGTAGGCGCATGCTCAATTTTCACAAAAGTATGGAATTTCCTAACCATAGCTTTCCATATAAGCAACCGAAAACCAAAAACTACCTTAGATCTCTAACCTCCCAAATCGTTTCCCCGAAAATCAGTCAGGTGAATTTTTTTTTTTATTTTAAAAAGAGATTACTCCAGCACCTGTTTCTTTTCCGATTGTATTATTTTCTGAGTAATAAAACACTAGCAAGAAAGAAAAGAAAGGAAACTGAAACGATACCTGGTTCATGACATCAGGATTAGCCTCGAGAGGAAGCCACCTCTTCGCAGAAGGACTTTCGTCGGGAGTTGCCATCTTCTTCGCTGTAATCTCTTTCTTCTTTTTCGACTGGATTCGATGATTGAGATCTGGGGGGTGGTGGCGTGGTGCAAATTGGGAATCTCAAAAGGTTTAGGATCGATTTAAAGCTTCCAATTTATATTCCTTTTCCTTTCGGCAATCTTTCATTTTTCGGCAAAATTTCACCTTAATTTTATCGAAAAAGAAAAGGATAAACACACGGACTCTTTTTCTTTTTCTTTTTTTTTTGAAAAGATTTTATATAAATAATAAACACGATCTTTCAAAAAAAAAATAAATTAAAAATATAAATTTTAACTTTATTAATCAAAATTATTATTTTTAATTAAAAATCTAAGTTTTATAATTTTACTTTAAAAAATGAACGCAAATGTTAACATATCTTACTAAAATTAAAATAAATGCAAATGTTAACATCTATACTAAAATTACAAAACTCGTATGTATTTTTTAAATTTTAAATTATATAATAAAAATAATTTATCCTTACTTGTGTATCACAAAAATCATATTTGTTTTAAAAAAATTATTATTAAATTATTTAGATTGTTTGTTAAAAAAAAATCATATCTTACCTTAGGTTATGTGAAGTTACCCTCCTCTGTTCTATATTCATGTTTGAAAATACAAAACGCACCGTTTCATGACCGCAGATAAGTAGGGAATGATGCATCACATACTACCAAAAACACTGAAGTACAAATTTACAAGCCCTTAATACCTGCAGAAGCAGAACATTTCAATTTTTTACACTCAAAACCCATTGCTCCGTTTCAAAGGAGGACTATGGTGATACTTACTCTTCCGAGGGCAGCACCATCTTCCAGCTTGTTGGTTGTTGTTTCGACCAACACCCTTCTTTTCTCAACAAGATCCTTTCAACATGTTGTAATGCTGCCAAATTTTCTGGAACACTCCAGAAGAATCTGTTGAGGCCCTCTTGGAGAATTTTCTTGATTTATTCTTGCCAATCTGTTCTTCCTCGTTCTGATAAATCCCCTTTCTGCAATTGCTTCTATGAACTGGCTTTCTAAATGACACTCCACAAACAGGCTTTGAATCGGGACAATGTACTTCTGTTTGAAGCTTGAGTCTGAGGGCCAGTTTCTATGACACCCCTTTGTTGTATCAATCAATTTTTTTGCAGATTTGCTATTAGTGTTGCCAGACTCTATTTTGATGTTCAATGATATAAAACCACCTTCATGGGAAGAATCTTGCTCCATTTTAGACACAAAACCTTCATCATTAGAGTTATCAACATGTTTGCGTAAACAGATCCCACTGGTTTGTGATGGTATAGTTGTGCTTCCAAGTTTTGCTCCAAAATCTTCTCAAAGCACAAACTATTATCCTGACCAAACAGGTTTTCCTTGGCTCCCTCCTGAATGGCCCACAAGACAAGATTGAGGAATGAATAGAAAAGAATCCTTCTGCTTCTTTAGGAACAAAAATAATTCCCTCACACCAAATAAATTAACAAATGACAATACAAAAGAATCTTGATGATTGGATTTTTACATAAGCAAGTAAATGGAAGGAGATAGAAAGCTTAACATTCTCACAAATCCATTTTCTTGGTCATCATATCCTAGAGATAGAGATGTGCATTTTTCAAACCGACTTGAGCTTTGCTTCTCACCAACAATAACTTCATCCCTATTTTTAGTTTTCCCCATAATCCCAAAATTGTCTTCTTCCTCTTGGTTACTATCTTCAACAACAAACTTTTCCTCAGATTCTTTTTCTTCAAAAGAAGTGTCTCTAAATCCATCCACCATACACAAGACAGGAGATTCATAAGTACGCTTGAGAACCTGTTTTGAAATCTGGAGGCTCTGACAAACATGAAACAAACAAGCATTATAGCCTGCTTAGATTCAATATGGATGTCATTTAGTTGTTGGCTGAAAAACCATACAAAAAGCAGATATAGATAAGTTCCTTATTTTCATTTCATCCCAAAATTTTCTAGACTAGATAATCAAACATCTAGTTAAGATTTTTCTATAATCTTAGAACTATTTCTCAAAGGAGTGACACTTACCAGAAAGCCAATAAGATGAATTACAAGGGTGCAAAATCTACATAAAATAGAAAAAGAGTTAGCACAAAGACATTAGCTTTGGATGATATTTTTAACTGCTGAATTAATGAGGTCCACCAGTTTATAAAATACAACATATATAGTTGCATAAATAGAACAATAAAAACTAGGAATCTACATATTAATTGCATGAAAATCATGTGAATCAAACTTATTGCCTATGTAAAATTTAAAACCACTTATAAGTTATAATTATAAGTTATAACATTGTTAAGTATTAAATACCATACAAAAGGAACAGCGATTGTTCAAACAAGAGTAATTGCATCCATTTACCTTACATTGATATGGATCTTCATTCTTGCTACCTCCAAAGATGTTACTGCACTTGACCTTAGTTTTCAACTTTCTCTTGTTAGAATTTTAAGGATTGACATGCATAGGATTTAGAATACCAAGATATAATAAAATAAATAAATTACAAATCTCAATCTCCATGGATCATCATAATTTGGATTCCCACGACAAAATCTACAAAACAAATATAGTTAATATTTGGGATTTAGGTTTTCCTCTCCCTATTCAACTTTCTATATAATAACAACCAATGGTTCATGCTACTTCCTAATGCTATTATTTATAGAAACAGGGTTTTATGAATGGGAGAGGAGACTTATAGCATGTTTGGTCCAGCTTCCAAGTGCTTCAACTTTTTGATATTATTTATGTTTCATAAATTTAAATTTTTCCCTTAAAAATTTACATTTTAAAACTTTTTTTTAACCTTAAAAAGATCACAGACAATAAAAGCTCAAAAACTTCAAATTCAAACTTTTTATAAATTTCCTTTTTACTCACTTTTTACCTACTTCTTTCTATTTTTAAAAACAACTTTTAAATTTTTTCTTTAATAAAAATTTAAACTTATTACTCATAAATAGTAAAAAATAAAAATAAAAACTCTTATAAGCTAACCTAGACAAGCTTTTAATCCATTATAATAATCTTTTGAACACTCCCATTAAATAACTCACCTTTAATTTCAGGGTTCTACACCTATTCATATAACGTCATATATAAAATCCAAACCCACTTGGGACACGGAACTTTATCGGGCTTTACTGCATAAAATTTCCAACTTCTCTTTGAAGCTGTCTCCAATGAGAAATCCACCTTCCTCACATTCACTTTCGTCGTGAGCAGCAGACCTTTTAAAATCATCAGTTGTGTCCAGCACAGGAGACTCATACACATAGCTTGTAAACAAGTTTCCCATACAAGGAGGTTCTGACAAAATGTGAAAAAAAAAAAACAAAATTTAGCCAAGCATGGATTCAAATTATAGATTGTAACTCATCTATGTGTTCCAATTCTTCAATTATTTTCCACCTAATTAAAACTTGAAAACTAGTTCCTGACATCAGAAGGCTCTAACATTAAAACAAAAATTATGAACACTAAAAATAAAATCAGCATGATTTGTGTAGAAATAAATACTAACCAGAAGGGTGGATCGAGTTTGAATAACCCAAAAACCTACAAGGAGAAGAATAAAAAAGGGTCAAGAATACTGAAAGCTATCACTACCAATACTTATAATTTTATAATTTTCCTTTGTTTTCCGGGAAACCAAACAATTTAAGCAGCACCCAAAAAGAAGAATGGATGGATAGACACCTGACAATTGGAATTCTCCATGAAATCTCTGTTTTTCTCCATCTTTCTCTCTCGCTCTCTGATACGAATTAGAACTCCTTTTCTTTTATAATTTCTTTTTCCATTTTGCTTCGATTTTAAATTTGTTGAGATATTTAAATATAAAAAAAATACATATTACTTTTAAAAATATTAATATTTTAATATTAAATTATGTTATTTTCTTTAA